GAGATGACAGGATGGTTCAGGGTTAAAGGAAGCACAAGAGGTCTGTAGCCCAATCTCCTGCTCCAAGCAGGATCAGGTGCAAGATCCAAGCAGGTTGTTTATGGCTTTGTGCCTGTGGGGGCTTGGCAATCACCAAGGATGGTGGCTGCAAAACTTTTCTGAGCACCAACCTGCTCCTATAAATTACTGTGCACCAGGTGAAAAAGGGTTTCCTTGTACACAGCCTGAACCTCTGTTTTTTCAGTCCATGCCCAGTTTCTCCCAGCCTCGCCCCATACACGAGCGGAAAATCCTGGCACAAAAAGCTGCCATGTGAGGCAGTCACAGCTGTGGTCTCTGCCTGCAGCCCTGCTGCTGCTTTTGGACTCTACTGCTGGGAGAGTTGTCACAAACTTGCTTTGGGAGGAGAATCTGTGGCATGTTTCCACATTTGTACAAAATTATCTGTAGTTTACCATAATGCAACGAATGGAATAACCCATCAAAACATTTGATGATAGCAAAAGTCAGTATCATTCTTTGTGCATAAGACATAGGTATTATTGGAAAGTGGAATTAACTTCACACTTATAACAGGAGTGATGTTTTTACATAGTGCTCTCTGCCTCAGACATGCACAGATCATATTAACCCACCCACTTCCCTTCCCTGATCTATCAAATGAAGTGAAACACAAAAAATTCTATGAATCTTCTGGGTATTTTAACACTCATATACCATTTTTTTCCTTGATATTGAGAGCAGGGAACATGATTCTTGAAGAATATTTTAATTTATTTAAAAAAATAAATAAATAACTGAAAAAAAAATCAGAGAAAACACCAGATAATGCTACAGTAATGATAAAACACACCTTCCAGACATCTTGTGGTTTTTTTTTCAGTCTTCTACAAATCCCTACATGCACTTTCTGTAGTATTATGGATTATAATGCAAAATATTTTTGACAATTAGGAAATGTAGATGTGTAATATTAGCAATACTCAAAGCATATTTCAGCAACAGTATACACAAAGAATATTAATTATGTAATTAGCCTATTATACTAGTAAAACCTGAATTTCATTGCCTTAGTACATATTACATGTATTTTAAACATGTTTATCTATATTTTCCTTGCCTAATAGGTCTTCTGAAGTCATTCCCAGACACCAGAACACTCCTTCTGAACATTAGCCCTTACACTTTGACATCTACCATACCTTGGGTCACTTTGTGGTAGTAAGCCTGGATCCACTCTAGTGTAAGAATCTGTTTCCATGGATCAGAGCATGGGACTTACACCAAAAGTCTGTTTCTTCCCTTTTCTCAGTATATGCCTACATGGGTTAAAAATTTAATTAAAAAAACAAATAAACCAAACACCTGTACACCCAGCATTTTCTCCCTGTGCCTTTCATGTATTTGCATGAGTCTCAGCAGGTTTCTTAGGAAATGCCACTTCCTAGAGAAAAAAAGAGAATCCAGAGAAACCCCAGACCCTCCTCCTTTCATTCCAGATCTGGCACCCATTACTTCTCAGGCTCTTTTTTCAGCTATGTGGCTCACTCTGCCAAAGGAAAGGGAATTGGAAGGGAATTTTCTACTCACTGCTTCCACACCTGAATTTCCACCTACCTCCTTCACTGTGGTGCCCACAAAACTTTCTTGTTTTTCATTGGCAAACAAGTGCAGCTCCTGGCCTAGGGTGTGTGCTGAGAGTGTGTGTGAACCACCTACAGCCCTTCCCTTTCCTTCTTCCCTCCACCTACAGCCCTCTGTACCGGCAGAGGCACTGCAGCAGAAAGCCCCTTCCACTTCTCCTTCCCCATCAGTATCACATCTGTATAGTCCTACACATGTTCCTCCCACACATTCTCCCAATCTCAACATACTTCTGATCAGTTACCTTTGAAATACACACCCATTTCCATGTATTCTTTCCCAGGAATATGCAGGGCAATATAAGAGTCCAGATACTGAAATTTTAGGCAGATGGTGTGGTCCTGTTTCTGTCATACTTGAGTTTGACGACAAACTTTGAATGGTTTTTATCTCACCATCACAGTTTAGGCCCACTCAGCTGAGCAAATCACAGCCAAAAATATTCAGACACGGCTGTGCTGCTCTTCACTGCCAGAGACACGTGGTGCCTGACTCGGGGTCAACGATTTTCAGATGTTTCTTAAACTGTTCCTCAAAACTTCTCCTGTGCATGTGGTTTGGGCACCAAAAAAACCCATGTTTTAAAATCTTGGGTCACAATGATGTGGCAGAAGTACCTCGTTAACAAGATCATCAGATGAAGATGAGTGAGAATTTCAGTGTTTTACAGAAAAGACATAGGAGCACAAGGGGTTGCCTAAAGCTAAATGACTGTTGAATTTCTGAAAAGTGAAAGGGGAATAAAAAGAGAAAAATTATGGCGGATGAAGTGAAGTGTACAACTCTAACATCTTGTTTAGACTTCAGAACTTTTGCAGTAGGGCATTGCTGTTGATGGACATTCATCAACTGTACTTTCATCTGATGTTAGCTGGCAGAAGTCTTATTCAGAAATAATTAGAATTGCTAAGGAGCCTGTGGTCAGTATTCCCTTTTCATCGGGTGACCCAGGGCAAAGAACACAGCAAACTGACTGTGGCTGTGACAAACCAAGTCTGTTTAAAGGAAGTTTGCTAACTTATAAGAGAAAGTTTAGAAGAAATCTCTCTGAAGTGAGGCAAGGTAAAATGAGAAGCAAGAAAGCAAGGCAGGGACAGCAAGAAACAGCTCTTTCTGAGCAGAGAAATACAGTCTTTTTCTGCACTATAATTTAGCAGGGTGTTTTAAGAAAGTTAGCTCACTCTCACCTCATGCTTCTGAAAGCTTTTCTCAAAACAGATTGTGCTTTACCTTAAATTAATTAAATCAATTTACACACCCCCTTGAATCAATTCACAGGCTCTTTTCTCTAATGAATAACATACACTAAATTACAATTTGTCTAGTTTTGACCAGAATTTGTTAAGTTTCTGATGGGTTTAGTTAGTGCTAAATATTACATTTCACTAGCTATTAGGTATCACACACTACACCTTTTAACATCTGTCATGCCTTATTTGCTATCTAGTCACAGCCATAATTTTGCTGTTCTTCAGCAGGCATGAAGTTGTAATTAAAAACTACAGGGCTGTTTAAAGGGCTTAGTAAAATTGATTAAATGATCCCCCCATCACTGGGGATGTCCTCAGGGTCCAGAGCTGAAACGTAGTTACCAGTCAGAAATTCAGCATGCTAATGGGGATAGGAGTCCAGTGCTCCATGTCCGTGCCACTTTTAACTCTGAGCCTTGATTTATTCCCTCTATGGCTCCCAATTCATTCCAAACAAGAAAGCACTGCTCCACACATGCATTACCCAGGTAATTACTCCAACGTATCTCCAGATATTGTCACAGTCAAATAAATGACTAATATTTGAATACATGAGCTTAATACAAAATGTTATCAAAATCACAGGAGCTTATTATGCATTGAAGGCTGTATGTGTGTATTACATATATTTGAAAACATATATATTACATATATTTGAAAATTTATCTATGAATAAAAAACTGGGATATCCTTTTTTCTCCACAGAAAGCGTGTGAGCATCAGTCCATTCTGCCAGCATGTGGGATCAGGTGTGTGACTGTATTGCACTCTGAAGGACTAGCACATCCTCTCAATTTTTTTAATTATAATGCACTGTGAGCGTGCCTATCACTTTGCAAACACATGAACAACAAGACAGCTGCTCCAAGACACTTGTACAACATCTGGACCCATGTACAACACAAAGGCTAAAATTCAGGTGCTTATGAGAGCAAACAACAAGTCAGGTCTTCAGGGCAAAGTTGGTTATTAGAAGGCTTATGGAAAAAGTTGAGCTTCAAGACATTTCTTACAGTCTCTGAGTTTCCTTCATAAAATAAATGAAGACCCAATTTTTAATTAATTTAGATATTTCAAGGATGTCAAAATTCCCGGGGTTTGTGCTCATATTGTGAATATACAATGTGCATATTCCCTTGCATATTGTATATTCTTGCACTCTAATTTGAGGTTTGTTTTGCAAAAATAACCTGTCACAAATAACACTTATTAGCCACAATAGCCACTACTAACAAAAAGAACATGCAGCACTGTTTTCATGCCCTATCTGGGTTTGCCCTTGTATACTCAGTCCCTTTGCTGCTATTCTCTTGATTTTAATGACATAACTTTGGTGAGTAGACTAACTCATAGACTGTTTGTGAGTAGTTAATATTTACTGATTTAAAATTTAAAGTGAAAAAATGTCTACTTCTGAATGGAAAAAAAAACCTTCAAAACCTTTCTGATATCTCAAAATAAAACTGAGAAGTGCACAAGCCCACAGCTGTTTTCTAGGACAGATCTGGAGGGTGGCAGGCTCTTTGGTGTAAGATTTCTGGGGACCTGAAGCAATGGCTCCGCCACTGTGTCCCTGACCTCCTTCGTTTTTGGGATTTGTTGTGGGACCTGCCAGAGTGGGTAAGATGGACAAACGCTGAGGTGCTGACCGATAGCTCCCGGCGCTGTGTGCGCCTTTTTGTTTCCCTGCGGACAAACTCCTCCGGCCGGCCAGGGAGTGCGGTGGGGTGGGACGGGGACGGGTCGGCCTTATCCTGGAGCCGTCAGCCTGTCTGAGATCCTGAAATCTTGGAGAGAAACATCCCGGAGCTGTGAAATGAAGCTTCCTGGGGCAGGGTGCCCGCGCTGTCCCTCTCCCACACAAGCCCCGTGGGGTCCCCATCCCCGCCGCCTCCCTCAGGCCACGGCCGGGCCCCGTGCCGCTCTCCGTGCCGCCGGGGGCAGGGGAGGCGCCCCGGGGCCCGCCGGCGGCAGGGAGCGCGGCTGCCTGGCCGGGCTCCCGTTTCCCGGACTACGTTTCCCAGGGATCCGCGGCGCGGCCCCGCCCGCTGTCAGCGAGCGCTGCAGGTTGATCGCCGCGGCTGCAGATGAGCGGAGCCCGCGCGGGCGGGGGGGCGGCCGGGGCAGCGCCGCCGGGGCCGGGTCGGCGGCCGGCGCACTATGCGAGGCCGGGAGGATGGCGGTGGAAGGTAAGGGCTTCGCGTCTCCTGCCCGCCGCCCCCGGGGTCCCTCCCTTGTCTCCTCCCCCGGGCACTCACCTGCGCCGTGGCGGGGCCGCCCCGGCCCGGCCCGGTCCGGCGGGACAGCGGCGTCCGCCGGCGAGGCCACTCTGCCGCCCGCTGCCTCGGCCTCGCCGCGGGGCATCCCCGGCCCCCGCGCACCTCGCCCGCCCGCCCGCAGCGCCGCGGCTGCCCCTGGCCAGGTGCCGTGGAGCCGGGCCGCGGCTCCCGCCCGCGGCGGGACAGGCGGCAGGGGCTGCCCGGAGGCTTCGCTCGGCAACTTCCCGCCGGGCCCGGAGGTGCCGCCTCTCCCGGCAAGGGCGGCCGACCTGCGCCGCCTCCCTCCGGAGCGGCCCCGGCCCCGCGCTCAGCCCGGGCGCCTCCCCCGCCCCGCGCCGGTCGCTCTCCCGCGGGCGCCGAGGCGCCGCCGTCCCTCGCTGCTGTCCGGATCCCCCCAGTGCCCCCAGAGCGCGATGCCCACGAAGCTCCAGCGTGCCCCGCATGGGCGCAGAGCTGTGCTCGGCCCCTCCTTCCCTGAGAGCGATGGAGAAGCCAAAGGGCCGAGATGCTCAGCTCCTGGGCAGCCGGGAGCTGTGAGGTGTTCACAAGGTGCCCGGCTCCTGGGGATGTACCCCGGTAAATGAGGGATAGCTACCAAGCCCTTGACAGGTGGATGCTTTGCTACGTCTTCAGTAAATGCTGGGCTCCCTTTAGCCTTCTAACATCGGCTGTGTGTTCCCTTTCCATTGGGTCTTTTGGGAAGTTGGAAGAGACAGGTGTATGAGAAAAGGCAAATCTGTCTTCAGTAAATGCTGGGCTCCCTTTAGCCTTCTAACATCGGCTGTGTGTTCCCTTTCCATTGGGTCTTTTGGGAAGTTGGAAGAGACAGGTGTATGAGAAAAGGCAAATCTGTCTTCAGTAAATGCTGGGCTCCCTTTAGCCTTCTAACATCGGCTGTGTGTTCCCTTTCCATTGGGTCTTTTGGGAAGTTGGAAGAGACAGGTGTATGAGAAAAGGCAAATCTGCCTTCCTGCTGCCTGCTTCCAAGATTCACTTGGTTTTCTAGCGCTTTAGACTGAAGCAGTGACAGCCCTGCGTTTGCACCTCATCGTGCTTTATTCTGTGTCCTTGAGAAAATTTAAGAATCCTGTGTAAACCAGCCATCTGACCCCTTCTCCTGTGCTTAATTTAGTGTCTCCTGTGCTTAATTTAGTGTATGACAGTATTTTTGTGTGTTCATCTTGTGACTACCATGAGTTTTGTTTCTCAGTTGTGCTGAAATCTTCAGTTCCATCAGATGCACTTGCTTTATTGCTGAAAATCATGCTGAAGCTGTCTTTTGCTGAGTACCCAAGTGAGCAGTGCAAATGATGGTCCAGCAAAAACTTAAACGTCCTGGAAGCAATGGGGAGCTTAACATCCCTGAAAACCAGCTTCCTGTGCAAATTCAAATAAAGATAAGCAAGACCACTGTGTCTCAAAAGGTGTCTGTCAACATCCCAAGTTGCTCATCCTAAGTGTAAGCCTCTCCCTAAGGCATGCATTTCTCAGGCACAGGCTGCTTTACCGAATGGCAGTTTTGAAGACTGGAATGATACACAGAAGGAATGTAGTGGTCCTGAATAAAAGCATTACTTTGGTGGCAAAAGCATAATGACCTGAACTGGGCATGCGTGCCCGGCAGTGGGTAAGTAAGTAAATGAAATGGACTGCCATGCACCAGATGGTTCATATGCCAGCCGCAACCCCTGTTTCAGTGTGCTCACTAATGTCATCCCACTTGATTTACTTGAAGTCCTTCTCAGTCTGTTTGCTAGATCTTTTCAGGTCTGTAATAATTCCTGTCATATCTGCAGTGCCCTCCATCTGAGAATCTCTAAAAGCTTTGTAAATATTAATGAAGGAAAGCTCTGCTAAAGCTTTGGGAAGCAGTGCCTTTCCCTTCTCCTGAGATGGAATTTTTTTCTTTAACTCCTTCTTCCCATTTCCTTCCCCCAGGATGCATCCTGCTGTGGTGTGTCAGAACAGGCATTCTTGTCTCTGTGTTCTGCATTCCTCCCATTTTGTTTTTTTCTCCCTCAACTTTCTTGCCTTTGCACGATTCTGTTGCCCTCACACTAACACAGCACTATGACTATTTCAGCACAAGTAGCCATGTGGCCGTGACTGCTTTGTGTGTTTGTAGTGCATTCACATTTCAGGCCTTTTATTACCCATCATTTTATGTTGGAGGCATGTTTCTTTGTGTGATTGTGCTTAAAAGCTTGCTTTTCTCTTAATGCACCTAGGGCCTTGTTGGAGCCCTAGGTGTGAGCTGTGTTCTGTTCCTGAGCTGTGACTTTTGGCAAGGAACATGTGGCATTACAGCTTCTGTTTGGAAAGCTGAGAGGTTACATGTTCCTCATGACTCCAGTCATCACAGTGTACCCTGCTTTAGTCTAAAGTAGAGTTGCCATTGAATCTTCTTAGTAGATGGTTTTGTAGAAAAATGTCCTGGACTCAGGAAGAGCAGACAGTTGGGATTTTTTGTTTTCTGTTTGTTTGATTTGTTTGTTTTCTTTGGAAGCATGCTTTCCTGGTTTGCAACTTGTGATCTTGAGAACGTAACCTGCTGTACAACAGTTTTGGAAGCTTGGAAATAAGGTTTAAACTGAGGTTGTCTGGTCTTCCAGTCTCTGCAGTGGTCAGCTGGGAGTCTGGCTAGGATGGACTTCCTGGGCTTTCTTTTGTAGAGTTATGCAAGGCCTCTGAGTGGCTGGGCCAGCTGGCTTCTTGTGCAGACTTGGGGGTGGCTCTGGGATGCAGCTGGGGAGTGGGAAGGTCCCTGGGGCACAGGGGAGGCAGGGATTCTGCAGCACAGGGATTCTGCAGCACGGGAGTTCCTGACTGGAGCCAACATCCTGCCCCACCAGCTCCACCAGGGCTATTGTTCTATGGAAACTGCCTGTTTGTCAGCTTCAGCCATGAACCCAGAGTCTTTGTTTTGTTTTTCCTTTCAGAAATGCTCTGCATGGCTAAGATGAAAATGCTTTGTAGCTTATACTTTTTAGAAAGTCTTTGAAAAATGTATTTTATCTAAAAAAAAAAGCTGAAATCTTCCTCAAATCTGATTTTTTTAAAGCTGCTGTAGCATGGTGTGCTGGGGTTTAGCAATGTCAACACATGTCCATCTGTTTACTTAAGGAAAACATCCAAACTTTTTTACTGGGATAGCTGACAGTGGTAGACTTGCATATATGAAGTAGGAATTTGGAGAATACTGCAGTTCTTCACCAGTTATGTATAATACATTCTTTAGTGTCCCAAAAGCGTTTATGGAGACTGGGAGGTCCTTTGGGCTGTATAGTGCCAGTGCTTCCAGATTGATGTAAGCATTGGTGTGTGTGTATGAGGAAAGTGAGTTTGCACTCTTAATATGAGCCCGTTGAGATGGCAGCACTGCCAAGGTAAGTCTATTTTTAGACTCAACAGTTTTGACAATGTTCCTTTAAGTGTTTTTTCTCCTTCTAGTAAGAATGAAAGAACTAGGTCAGAGCCAGTAGAAAAAGGCTTTTGATCTCTGCAAGTGTTCTTTTTTTTTTTTTTTCTTTTCAGTTTGCTCTTGTGCAGCAGAGGTAAAGGGGGAAAGAGAGAAATGGTGATTTCTTCCTCCCCCCAGTGTTTATTGCACAGGAAGGTGAGAGACTGACAGCACTCATCAGATGATGTCTGCATGCAGGTGATCCCACACAGTTCTGTTGGATCCCCTGCAGCTCTGATCTGTGGTGTTTTTGAGATTCCTTTGCAAAGAAAAGTGCTAATTGTTTCATGGAGTTCTTTAATGGTAAGTGTTTAATGAAATTTGGTCTAACACCTTTCTTGCTGTGTATAGGCTTTGGAAAGTGCCACATAGATTTGTTGCAGGTCTCCTCCTGGAAGTTTATGTAAACTTCCAGTCTCCTATGGCTCTTCTGTAGTGGGCATATGCTACTGAGACCCTGGATCTTCCTATGGGATAGTGTGTTTTACTGAGAAGTGGAGCCTTGCTGACATAAAATGACAATGACTGGCCTTACCCTTTGGTAATCCTTAAGGAGACTAAGACTCAGAGGAGGTTAGGGCATTTTGTGGAATGGCATCCAGGTTGACTGCTGCAGAACTGAAGTTATTTGCAGCTTGTAACCAACTTCTATGAGAGTGATCCTGTGGATTTCAGCTATGTGGTGTACCTTGGTTGAACGCCTGCAGTGCCTAGCAACTCCATGGATATTGAATGCTGCCATGTGTTTCTTCAGAGACTTGAAATATGGTGAGCTCATAGATGTGCTATGCTAACTCTGCCAAGAATGTCAAAGCAAGTTCAGGATCACCCAGAGGACAGCTTTGAAGCAGCTTTCAGTGTAGGTACCTATCATGCTGTTCCAGGGCGTGCCCAAAAGTACAACTCTTCTGACAGGTATTCAGTTACTCAACTTTGCCTTATTCCTACACCCACTTTGAGCTCAGACTGGATATGTCTCCATATCTGAGTTTCCAGGGAATGTGATCCAGTAGATGATGTTTCAGCACACTTACTTGCCTATGGAGCAAAGAAGTAACAAGCTCTGTGATTCAAAAAATAGCACATGCTTCTGTTATGTTTTTGGTTTCTTCAGTAATTTCTAACCACTTCTTAGCCTGAGGGATTCAGACATGTGGCTTGGAAATAGCTGCCAGCTGGAAGCAGGACTGAGAGAGACAACTCATTTCAACTCTCCAGGTGAAACAGTCACATTGGGTCATAGTAGAGGAGATGGGTAACACCAATGCTGGAGGTGTATTGGACAGTAAGGCATAAGATTTGAACATCTTTGGTCTTGAGTTCTGTGTGTCACTTTCTGACCATTTATTGCAAAAATGCATCAGCAATTATGGGATTCCAGACTGGAAGATAGATCTCTTATCCACATTCACGTGGCAGCCTCGTTGTTGGGCTACCCCCTTATTTCTTG